GCCCCCCGCCCCTCTCTGGCCACATCCTGTGACCAAGGACGCCCACCCCCCATCCCAGAGGGTGCTGGGGCCCGTCCGACCTTGCGGAGCTCCTGGATGCAGCCGACGGCACACCAGTCGAACTCGACGCTGCTGCCGATGCGGTAGACGCCAGAGCCGATGACCATGACGTGGGGCTCGTGGAAGGCCAGGTCGTGCTCGGAGCCGTTGTAGGTCAGGTACAGGTAGTTGGTTTGGGCCGGCCACTCCGCTGCCACCGTGTCGATCTGCTTCACCATCGGCAGGATCTTCAGGTCGCGCCGCATCTTCCGCACAGCCAGCTCGGTGCTGAAGGGGTTGGGTGAGCTCCAGGACTGGGGTGAGGGGCAGGGCGGGGCCATCCTCCTCCCCAGCTCACCTGAGCACGGCCAGGGCCACCTGCTTGTCGGAGAAGCCGAGCTGCTTGGCGCGCTGGAGCACGGCGGGGGGCATGGTGCCCTGCTCGCCGCGGTACGACTCCAGCAGCACCGCGTGGTCCGCGATGTTCTTCATCTTGTGCAGGAACCACCGGTCGATCTTGGTCAGCTCGTACAGCCGCTCGATGGAGTACCCGGCCCGCAGCGCCGCCGCCAGCACAAAGATCCGCTTGTCCGTCGGCGTCTCCAGCTCCTGCCAGGCCGGAGGGGTGAGCAGGGCTGGGGAAGGTAGGTGGCCACCTCTCCCCCAGGACTGCATCAGCAGCACACACCCCCCAGACCCCAGTGCTCACCACGTCCGAGGCCGGCTTCACCATGTGGTCAAAGCCCACGCAGTTCTCATCCACCATCCTCAGCGCCTTCTGGAACGCCTCCTCAAAGTTCCTCCCGATGGCCATGACCTCCCCTGCAGAGGGAGAGGTGAGCAGCCGGACCCCACGCCCACCCCCTGCCCGCGGGCGCTGCCGCCCCCCGCGCTCACCCACGCTCTTCATGGAGCTGCCAATCTTGGTGCTGACACGCAGGAACTTGCTGAGGTCCCAGCGCGGGATCTTCACCACGCAGTAGTCCAGGCTGGGCTCGAAGTTGGCTGTGGTGGAGTTGGTGACGGAGTTCCTGGGGAGGGGACGGGGGTCAGCGGCCGGGGCTGTCCCACTGTGGCAGCGCCCCGTCCTGTGTTGTGGCAGCACCTTACCTGAGGACAGGTAGGGGGATGCCCAGGGCCAGCTTGGCGGCCACGTAGGCCAGCGGGTAGCCGGTGGCCTTGCTGGCCAGGGCTGAGCTGCGGGAGAGCCGGGCGTTCACCTCGATGATGTAGTACTGTGGGCAGCGGGCAGGCAGGGTCAGCGGGTGCCGTGGGACACGGCTGAGCCGGCGACACGGCCGGACCCGCTGGATCCCAGAAATGCCACAGCACAGGGAGGCACAGACTCATGGGGCAGAACCCAGAGCACCCCAGGGTAGGGCTGGACAGGGGTTGGGAGTGGGATCCAGGACTTTCAGGGAGCTGCTTGTACCTGCTCCGACTCGGGGTTGAGGGCGAACTGGATGTTGCACTCGCCCACGATGCCCAGGTGCTGCACCACCTTGATGGCCGTGCGCCGCAGCATGAAGTACTCGGTGTCATTGAGAGTCTGGCTGGGTGCCACCACGATGGACTCGCCCGTGTGGATCCCCAGCGGGTCCAGGTTCTCCATGTTACACACCTGGCAGTGGGGGGTCACTGTGAGCTGGGGGTTCCCCAGCACCCCACGTGCTGCCCATGGCAGGTCCCTCCCAGCTCCCACCACGTCCTCCCCTGCCCAGCCTGGGCTGGAACACAAGCCCCTGGGACACCCAATGTGTTCAGCCCACCCAGAGCAGGGGGGTGCAGGGCTCTGGCTCACGAGGTGCAGCTCCCAGTGGCACACAGGAGCTGTGCCAGCACCACAAGAGGCACAGGGGAGCTCTCCCTGGGGACAAGGTCCAGCAGAAGCCCCCCACCCCCAGCACCTGCCTCATGTCCATCCCCCCTCAGTGGCCTGGAGGTCTCCCCCCATCCCATACCGTGACACAGTTGTTGTAGGCGTCCCGCACCACCTCGTACTCAATCTCCTTCCAGCCCTTGAGGGACTTGTCCACCAGCACCTGGGAGGTGTGGGTGAAGGCCTGGCTCACCAGGGCCACCAGCTCCTCCCGGCTGTTGGCGAAGCCGGAGCCCAGCCCCCCGAGGGCGTAGGCAGAGCGCACCAGCACCGGGTACCCCAAACGCTCGGCCGCTGCCTGTGCCTGCAGGGAGCAGAGGGGTGATGGTGGGAACGGGAAGAACAGGCCCCTGCCCTGTCCCGCAGCCCCACAACCCACCCCGAACCTGCTCCAGGGAGGTAGCAGCCTCGCTGGGCGCCACGTGCTCCCCGATCTCTTCCATCTTCTCCGCGAAGACCTTGCGATCCTCTGTCATCTCGATGGAGGCGACGGGGGTGCCCAGCACCCGCACGTGGTACTGCTCCAGCACGCCCGCCTTGGTCAGCTCCACCCCGCAGTTCAGGGCCGTCTGCCCCCCGAAGGTCAGCAGCACCCCGTCGGGGCGCTCATTCCGGATCACCTGGGGGGCACAGGGCAGGTCTTGTGTCCTCCTCCAGCTGCTACCACGCCTGTGCTGCCCACCAAGTCCCTTCCACTCCCACCCAGCCCTCCATACACCAGTCCCTCAGCCATCCCCCAGCCTAGCCATCCCTGTACCCCCAAACTGCCCAGCCGGTGCCCCAGGGTGCTCACCTGTGTGACGTACTCAGGGGTGATGGGCAGGAAGTACACCTTGTCTGCCAGCCCCTTAGAGGTCTGCACCGTGGCGATGTTGGGGTTGATCAGCACCGTCTGGATGTTCTCCTCCCTCAGCGCTTTGATGGCCTCATGGGGAACAGAGGGGTCATGGCTGCTGTCCCTGGGCCCCTGCCACCCCAGTGACCCCCATCGCTCCCTGTGCCCTGCGGTGGGTGCTCACCTGTGACCCTGAGTAGTCGAACTCGCCTGCCTGCCCGATGGAGAGG